TCATATATGTCAATTTATGTAAGTGATTGACCTGGTGTTCATATGATGGGGGGTTATGTATTCATATATTTTCTACGATATTCTCTTCCTATGTGGTTTCATCATGTTCATAGTTGTATACGTTCATGTTAATGACCTCTGTCATATGAATATCGGTTTTCGTTAGTGATCTCACTTGTTGTTCATATATGTTCATGTCAACTTACTGATTCGTTGGTTAAAAATTTGCTCCCAAATCTTTATATAAGCATTGTTCTTGCACCTGGTGTTCACATATGTCAAATTGTGTAAGTGATTGCACCCGGTGTTTATTGTATGGGGGTTATATGTTCATATATGAACATACAATGTTCTCTTCCTATGTGGCTTGATCATGTTCAAAATTTGTTCATATATGTTCATGTCAATTATTTTCGTCTATAAACAGCTTGTGAACTCGAACCAAATAGATCTCACATGTTGTTTATATATGTTCATGTTCATATACGTTCACATTACTCATCTCATGGTCATTAATGATTGATCTAAGTTGCACCAAATAAATCTATACACAATTTGTTCATATATGTTCGTGTAAATTATTTTAGTCTATGAACAGCTTGTGACCTCGAACCAAATAGATCTCACCTGCTATTCATATATGTTCATGTCCATATATGTTCACATTAATCATCTCATGGTCATTAATGATTGCTCTAACTCGCATCAAATAAATCTATTTTCTAGTTGTTGCAGTTGATTACTCCAGTTATGTAATATTAATGTTCATTGATTTTACTAACTATGATGATATCAACAGGTGTTCACATACTTACACCTTCCGAACATGAAAGGGAGTACGCTGTCAGAGAGTGTTCAAATGGAAGCAAGTATTTTATCTCCAATGTTGATGACGAGCTTAAACCAAATATCAACGCCCAATTCGTATTTATAAATGAAGCGGAAAAGATGTACAGGACGTACGCGGACAATGTTGGGTTTGATGTTCGTCTTCATGCCAAAAAAAAAACAGGAACGGAGACATACAAACAAGATGGTTTGTATGTAGTAGGGAAGGAATACCAAATAAAAAGTATTTTGATTCTATGGCTCTTTAGTCCGGCGAGAGGAGATGTCGTAATATGAACCTTAAACGGCATGTATAAAACTCCATTTGACAAAGGATCGCTCCTGAATGTGTTCACAATGAAGGAACTGTTGTTCACAAACTGTTCATATTGTGTTCATACCTGTTTTTTATTTATTTCCTTTCGTGTAGCAGCTATTCTTATTATGTTCATATTGTGTTCATAAATAATATGCGGTCCAAGTTCATATATATGTCAATTTTTGTTTGTATTTGACACAATGGTTCATATATATAGTTTTGTTCATATGGTTCTTACATTAACAAAGATAAATTAACAAAAATAATGAGATTTTTTGATTTTTATAACTCCCAATTAATGATATGGGAGTTACATAAATTTTTTTTACCTAAATACCCTTTTCTCACTTATCTTTATGAAATTTTAAATTTAAAAAAATAAGTTTTTATCATAATTAATCACAACCGTTTATTGAAAGATTCAGTGACCAAAATCGGTTAACAAAGTTAACACAAAAACTTTGGTTAACATTTAAACCTGACCTTATATATATAAGGTATATATATATATACATAGGGTTGGGTTCATGTGAGACCAATGGTTTTTTCGTGAGACCTGTAAGACCAATTTATGTTCATTGATCAACTTTATAAGCTAATGATCTAATGGTCTAAAGTTGATTGAGAAGTCTCGTGGCAATTTTGTGATTATGAATGTTCAAATTGTAAATCTAATCCAAGGGTTGAGAATTGGTCTTACGGGTCTCACGAAAAACCCTTGTTCTCACATGACCTCAAGTCTCTCTCTCTCTCTCTCTATATATATATATATAGAGAGAGAGAGAGAGAGAGAGAGAAAGAGATGTAAGATCAAATGTTAACCAAAGTTTTTTGTGTTAACTTTGTAAATCATATCAACCAATCACAATCCGTTCTTCTATTAGGTTTCTCTCATGTTCACAATTTAATGTTAAAGGTAATTGAGTAATTTGATTTGCTATGTAACTCCCATACCATTAATGGGGAGTTACAAAATCATAAAATCCCTAAAAATATGCATTTATAATTTTGATTTGTGGTAAACGTGAGATCCAATCTCAACCACAAATCAATAGATAAATTAGGAAATTTATAATTTTAGAAATTTTGAATTAAAATTTTAATGCAATAACATTTTAGGTATTTTCTCTCTTATATACTCTATCTGTCCCCTGTCCTCCAGCCACCGTCCTCATGTGATACCTAAAAATATTTTATCTAGAGAGAGAAAGAGAACTTGGTTCAAATGTTAACCAAGATTATTGTGTTAAGTTTGTTAACCAAGCTCAACCAATGAAAATCCATCTTTTATCTAGGTTCATATTCATCTCATAATTTAATGACAAGAGTAAATATGTAATTTTAGTTTGTACGTAACTCACATATTATTAATTGGGAGTTACAAAATCAAAAAATCCCATAATTATTGTTGATTTACTATTGATATTGTTTTTCTATAATATTGATTAATACATATATATATATATATATATATATATATATATAAAGTCATTCTTATAGTTTGTAATTTACAAATTGTCCCCAATTTTGAGGTGTTATAGCCTCTATTATACATACATAGGGGTGTAAATGATGCGAGTCGAGCTCGAGTATCGATATACTCGATTCGAACTCGATAGCTATTTCTCAAACTAGAACTCGACTCGAAAGCTCACGAGCAATTAAAAACTAAACTCGACTTGAACTCGACTCGAAAGCTCACGAGCAATAAAAAACTAAACTCGACTTGAACTCGATTGCAATTTTTTAAACTTGAGCCCGAACTCATTTGAAGCTCGAAGTGCAACTCAAATCAAGCTTGAATCAAACTCACCCATTGAAATTTATGAAATTTAAGGGTCTTTTCTTATAAATTTTAAAACTCAAATTTATTCTCTTAGTTTTTATAAAACTAAAGGGATTCACTTCGAACTTCATCATCAAAAAAAGAATGTTAGAAATTTCATTCATTTCTCTCTCTTTTTATAACATCATTTTTCTCTTTCTTTACCGTCTCCCTTCTTGGGACAGTTTCACCACACTTTTATAGTTTTTGTTTGTCTATTTTTAATTGTGATTTTAATAAAAAAAAATAATTGATTAGTTTTTATAATTAAAAAATGCATAATTTTTTCAAATATCTAAAAATATAAGATATTTTTATTGTTTACATTTTTACAAATTTTATTATAGAACCTGATTATATTTTAAAAATAATTATATATAAAATAATCGAGTATCTCACGAGCTTTCGAGTGGAGTATTTGATAGCTTGACTCGACTCATTAGTATGTCGAGTCGAACTCGAGTTCGGACCGAGTGTTGACCGAGTCGATCTCGAGTAGCTCGCGAGTTGTTTCGTATCATTTATACCTCTATACATGCACTGCCTAACTTGCACAAAAATTTATACTATTTTCTAGTTCGAAGAAATTGTTATCACGATGCATCTATTGAAAATTTATTATGATAATACATATTTCGTTACAACAAAATTATGTTTATAAGATGTTATATCTAAAAGTGTTACAATCTACTTATACACCGCTTTTTCAAAGTTTAAATAAGGTTTTGATGTTATTTTCAAATAAAGTATCATACTACTTTTTTTATTGGACATGACTTGAAATTGTTTTTATAAACACAAGTTTCCTATAAAAATATGAGTTTTTACAACATTTTTCAAAAATATTCTATAAAAATAACAAATACAGCATTTTGTTTTAAATATGTCCTATAAAAAACTTATTAAAACACCCGCAAACAATTTATGAACTTATTGTAGCACTTTTAGATATTTAGACGTTTTAATATTTGGCCGTATAAACATTAAGTCTTATAAAATATCTTACACATTTTTAAACATCTTATAAACCTAATTTTGTTGTAGTGTATAATATCTTTCTACACCATGATCTATGTTACATCATAAATACAAGAAAAAAATCCTCATTTTTGTTTTGTAATCTAACTCTAAGGGGTAGTTTACCTAAACACTTACCCGGTAAGCGCTTACTAGTAAAACTCAACACTATCACTTACCTTATCTAACAAGATTTTAGTCCATCAAAACTACATTGTATGTAAAAATCTACCTAGTAAGCGCTAACCGGGTAAGAGTCGTCAACTTCACTTACCGGGTAAGACTCTCGGTCCTTACTTTCACTCTTATCAGGTAAGATTCTTACTTTTTGTCATAGTCATTCCGTAAGGTAATGTAACTTGATAAATGCTTATTCGGGTAAGCGTCGTAAACTGCCCCTAAAATACAAATAGATTATATTTATATATATTAGATATTGTTACAAGAAATTGGATCAAAGTGATATATAAACCATCAGTTTCAAACCCAGAAATGAAATTTTATGAAATGTAACTGTGTGTGTGTGTCTATGTGTATTTGTGTATATATACATATATATAATAGAGGAGCGATCAAATGAAAACCGCCCTCAATTGTGTAAACCGTACAAACCACCCTCATACATCTATTTTATTGTTTAATCTTATGAAATTTTTTCATGAAATTGTTTAATCTTGTGAAATTGTTTCATATAATACTTTTTTTGATTAATTTGTTTCATATATGATTATGAAATTGTTTCATATAAAATTTAATGAAATTTTAATGAAACTGTTTCATTTATTTCTCTAAAATTAAAATAATGAAGATGATAATTTCTATGATTAACACCCTCCAGAATAAAAATGATTAATCAACCTCTCATAATTACAAAAAAATGAACAAAATAAAAAATTATGATTAGTTGAATATGGTTTTCACGATTTATACAAATTGGGTGGTTTTTATTTGAACGCTCCCCTACATATATAGATATATATAGATATATATATATATATATATATATATATATATATATATATCTTAATCAAGAATGCTTCAATATAGCATATATGGTTTAAATCTTTTTAATCAACTAATTAACCCAACACCTTTTATGAACTCTTTGTGTTCTACAATCATCATCAAATCCATCAACTCTTCTTCTTACGTGTAATCGAGCTTTAAAATCCTTTTGCCATGCCTTAAATCGACACTTCAACTTTTTAAACTCGTGTTCTTGACATTTTCTTGACTTCAGACGGAAACCGCAGTCCGTTTCCATATCGTTTTCTTGCAGCTCGAGTATCTCTCTAATCGTGAGATCCATTTTGCCGATTTCTTGTTGTCTAGTCGGATTTCGAGGAAGATGATCGGTTATTTCATCCGTCGTCCTTTCTCGAGCTGAAACTAAGCTCATCTGGAAAGACAAAAACAAATGTATATTAGAGATCACCCAAAGGATTTAGTTTATAAAGCCTAAATTTGACATAAAATTGTTTGGTACTGGAAACTTAAATTCTATGAAACAGACTGTTATGACATTTAGATATATTTGACATCATACACATAATGTCAAATCTGCACGTTTCACATATGAAAAAAAAAGGGAGATTAAGGTTTAGAAAGATGAGCATACTTGAATAGAGGTCAACTCATCTTGCCATGATTTCTCTTTCAAATTCATTTTAGCCTTGTGCAACTCCCATTTCTTATCGATGTGTTGAATTCGGAGCTCCAAGATCGCGTTCTCGCGTTTCTTGTCTTGTAAAGCCGCCTCCGATCTCAAAACTTCTTGTTCGAGATCACGAATGTAGGATGTTGACACCCTCACATATTCCTACAAAACGGTTTTAATTAAGTCATTACTAAACATTGTCTGTTAACAGAGAGAATCGATGTTATGAACCTTCTGTACCCTCGAAAATCAAAAATGACCAAAAATTACGAAAAAGAATTTGAAAAATGTCAAAAACGGCAGTTTCAAAACCAAAAACCGGGTTTAAAAAACAGGGCAAAAAACCGGGTTCAAAATTTCAAATTTGACCCCACCAGGGGCTCTGTCCCTTGGACCCAGCACCCCCGGAACCCCGTCATTTAGGGGGCTTCGCTCCTAAATCAAAATAAACTCAAACAAGTGTGCACTCCGCACCTTACTTACTTGTTCGATATTTATCATGATTACATTGGTCAACAAATTTATCTCATTACACTTAAATGATATTAATGATACAAATCACCAATAAATGTTCATCTCTAACTACAAGTACCTTGCTTTCTATATCCTCCTCGTGTACACCCTTCGGTTCCGTAGTATTCTCGATGGTTCCATTTTCGATATAGCCATGGCGTCTTCGACTTAACCAACTTCCAACCACTAACAATAAAAGAAAATAGAAAACGTAAGAACTTCAATTGGCTCGATAACCGTTGAATCCGGCATACAATGTCTCAATGTTCTCACCTGATTGCATATATACGATCGTTGTCTCCCGATCCCTTAACGGTTTCCACACAAACTCCCGATTAACGTTTTCTTCTATGAGCATTTTTGCTATTTTCCGGAAATCTCTTCTTGCATTTTCGCCACGAACAACTGCAAGACAAATAGGTTATGCAACATACTTAGATTTTTTTCGGCTTTCAGTTGTAACAATGGATTCAAAAAACAGAAATACATGTCTTAAAATATTATTTTGACATCGTTATATGTTTTCTACTTCTTTAACCTGTGTGGTACAAGACATTAATGCAGCTTGTGGGAAGATAAATACGAGTCTTTCTTAACCATGGATATTCGAGTTAAGTTGCATCTTAATAGGAGCTATGAAGAAATGAGTCTGAATTTGGGATTGTTTATTTGAAATGATTTATGTTTTTGTACAAAAACACTTATCAACTTATTATAAGTTAAAAGAGTTTAACTTCTTCAAAAACTACTTATTACCGGTTTGGCACCGGTATAAATTGTTTATCCTAACACTCAAAAGTGCTTATTATCGGTGTCATACCGGAATAAGTCAATAAGTTGTTTCTATAAGCAATCTCAAACACCCCTTAAATTTAAAGAAATAAATTGAAGTTTAAAAATAAAAAGAAATGAATGGAAATACATGATTGGAGTGTGATGATCCCTCTCTTAAGCTTGTGATAATGAAAGCGTGCTAGGTACCCCCGGAAACATTTTTGAATTACTATTATGCCCTTCTCTGCTTTTTCCTCTTTATTCTTCACATCATCCTGAAAAATATTTAAAACATTTTCCATTTTAATTAAAATCAATATTATTAATATATTATTTAAAAAAATTATGTCATATTTAAATAAAAGTTTTCTAATAAATTTATTTTAGAATAAATATTAAATCAAAATTGTTATAATTATTTTGAGGCGATGGAGCAATTTGAAAAACAAAATATGGAGAAGTAATTAAGGAGTAAATGGTAATTTCCATTGTATACGTAAAATTTTGCATGAGAACTCGAAATTCTGGCATTTTATATTTAAAATTAGTATTTTTCTCTGTATTCAG